TGTGTGTGTGTGTGTCCAGGAACTGCTTTGATCGCAGCCAGAGAGGCTAAGTGTGTGTGTGTGTGTCCAGGACACTGCTTTGATCACAGCCAGAGAGGCTGAGTCTGTGTTCCCCAGGACTCTATGGGCAGTGCCACAGGGAGCAGCAACACGTGATGGGAGAAAAGTTCTGAAGTGTGGTTCTCCACCCAGTTCCGCCATGTAACAACTTATGTAACCACAGACAAGTCACTTCTTCCCTGGGCCTCTGTTCCTCAACTGACTACCAGGAGACTGACCTGATGAAAAGCCAAGGTTCTGGCCAGTTCTAGGAGCCCGGGATTCCCTTTTCCTATAAGCAAATGGTAGGCACTGGACACACCTGACCACCCAGCAGCCTGGCCAAGATTGCCCATTCTGGGACAAAAAAAGACTTAAGGACATCTGGTTCAGCATACTACCAACTCTGGCATGGGCCAAAACCACCTGCAAAAGGCATAAATGTCAGCATTGTGTTACTGAGATATGAGTAATTTAGTATCTTAGGGCAGCCTCATTATCTGCCTGTGGTCACCCTGAAAAAGCAAGAGATAGTCCGAGAGGAGCATTTGCATGAGGCTTATTAGTTCATAGTTCTGGGCTCCTTCTCATCTTTCAAGGCCATGCCCAGCCCTTTTTGGCTGCCTTGCCCATGCCTGAGGGGCTGATGTTCAATCACTCCTCGTCAGGAAGAGCATTTATTCTCCAGGTGGCCACTGGTATGAGCAGCCACCTGCCTGCCTGGTCACATCGAGGGGAGGCCCGTTTTCAGGCCTTGGAAAATTCCTGAAAATTCCAGTTCTCCATGTTTGAATAGAGAGCCTTTATCAGTCAGGGGGTAAAAATGAACTGAAACTAAGATTTCTTTGTCACTGTACTTCCATTATGAAATTGCAACAGGGTTTAAAAGATGGAGATCTTAAAGAGCTGAAGAGGAATATAATCAGAGACCCTAGAAACAAGACTTCCCATGTCCCAAGAAAAGCGGCATTTTAAAAATTAATATTTATTGGGCGCCTGGGTGGCTCAGTTGGTTAAAAATTAATATTTATTCTAGAGCTCATTGGTAGGATAAAATATATATTCTCAGGGAGGGAGTAGGGAATAATAAAATATAAAAGAAGTACTATGAGAATATGTTCTATGACAACCAGCCAACCAAATAGACAAAGATGATCTCTGAAAACCAAAACCCCTTACATATTTATAGTCTGAGGAAGGCAACTGATTTGACAGAAATGTTCAAACTGGTTTCCCTGCAGATTACCCCATTTGAATATAACAAATGAATTCCCCATACACAGTTGCCATGGCAGCCAATAATATATCGTTCTGTGCCCAGGCCGTCTTGGAGCCAGGCAAAAGATTGGGACAAGAAGCTAGAAGATGTACTGAGGCCTGACCTCTGGTTTAGTGCTTCTCTCTTAAGCTTTCACATGTGGTACCTGTGCTCCTGGACTGCATATGTGGAGTCAGGCACAGAGGCATCTCCATCCAGAGGAGCGGAATCCAGAACAAATCAGGGTGGGCCTAGTGAACATGAGACAATCCACCTGTCCTAATATACTAATTTCATATATTGCCATCACTATGTCTTTGCCATTTTCAGCCTCATGGGGAATGGGAGTTGCAGGGAATTGACTCTCTTGCATCCAGATACACACATTCATTACCATTAATAAAGAAGAAAAAGGCAGGATTACAGTGGATACAGTGGCGCTCTTCTCAGGCTCCTGCTTCAGAGCACATGCTGCCAGGAATCCTGGCTGCTCCCTGCTCCCTGCTCCCAGCTCCCAGCTCCGGGCAGTACCTCTCACTGGGAATCTCTCGCAGCTCCGGGGAACTGCTTCCCCTTAGGTCACACCCCTGCCCAAGGTGGCACCCAGCTGCGACTGGCTGATGCCGAGATACAATCCAGGACAGCTCTGCAAGAGCACCCCAGCTCTCCATCTCCCAGAGAATGGGCAGTGGCCTCTGTTGCAAGCACACTGCCGTCCCATGTCTCCCTTGCCCAATCCTGCCTTCCCCACTTCCTCCCAGGTCTAGCTCCTGTAAGAACTCTCCGATAAACCTGCCACACGTGATGCCCAGAGTCTGTTTGAAGGGAACCCAATCTAAGATGAAGATGAATGAACATGAATGGGCTAATCCAATCTTGCCAAGCCAAGTAAACCTTGCGTTAGCAATTTTTGAAAATGAGTTATAATCAACTGGAACATGTTTTCTATGAAACGTTCCCAGTTTAAGGAAGAAAATAACCTTTTCCAAACTGTATTCCTATATTCACTCTGTATGAGAAGAAAAGATTATTAAACTTTTGAAGCAGAGAAACATGAACATTTTCAGCTCACAACCTACCTATAAGAACTGTGGAGGAGAAAGTCACATCTGGTAAGGTACTTGTGACACACAGAAGTGACCAACTCCTCGTATGTGTATCTTACACTATTTAGGCAACAGTGCATCTGCTTGTCCCTGGTGCTCTGTTTAAATGGATGGGTACCCAACGGGAGCCTCTTACCTCCAGGACCAGCCACAGTTGTCCTCCCACACAGTGATCCGCTTTGTAAAACATCCCATAAAACTTTACAACGTTGGGATGATTCGGAAGAAACTGCAAAATGTTGTATTCTGCTTCAATCTCTTCATCCATATCCTACACAGTGTAAATAATGCATGCTGGATTAAGTCTAACATGTGAGGAAGGGTACAGGTATGATATCATTAATAAAGCATATTTATTCTATATTTTTTACATCATCATAACTGTATCTTGAAAATACCTAACAATGGACATTCACATCCCAAACAAAATCTTCTAGTTATTACATTAATAAAATGTCTTTATTATATCCTTTCCTCTTTAATAACACTATTACAAATATCTATTTTATTTTAAAACATCTGATTTTTCAAAGTAGTTAAGGAGAAGTAGCTTGAAGGGACCCAACCCAGCTTAGGACACTTTATAACCTCACTGTGCAAGACAGCTTCCAGCATTATAACCTAAGTGCTCAGTGCTCTAAAAGAAGATGAATGAATACCACAAGTCTAGAACACTTTGTAACTTACAAAGAGACTAGACTCTGTATAAGGGAGTGAAATACATTACTCTTTCCAAGATAACTTTTGAAGAACCCAGAGGGTCAAAACCAAAACAACAGTAAAATGGACAAGAAACAGAAATTCAAGGAATTTTTTAACTCCAAATGGAATCCCTTCTTTCAGATGAGCTGACAAATCATGACTCATTTTGAAATTTCATGCCAGGTTTTATGAAAATCATCCCTAGAACCAGGAAAGAAGCTGAAAGCTTAAAGTAAATGAATTATATAGTGGTTTCAATTTACTACCATTACTTACACTGATTGGATCCAAAATTTTTACTGCAGCCAGGCTCCCATCTCTCTTGTTAGTTACCTTGTAGACCTTGCCATAGGTGCCTTTACCTATGGTTTCTATAATTTCCCAGGTATCAGTGGGATCTGGAAGTGATTCAAGTCCAAGCATTGTGGGGTTGTAATGAAACAATCCATACAGATGTTTCCTGATGGGGAGAAAAGTTTGTTATGTGCAACAGATCACAGGACTGGGGGCACTGGGCTTTCAAAACAAGAATATTCTTTTAAAAAAAAAGATTTTATTTATTTATTTGAGAGAGAGAACTCGAGGGAGCATGAGCAGAAGGAGGTGCAGAGGGAGAGAGAGAAGCAGACTCCCCACTGAGCAGGGAGCCCAACATAGGGCTGGATCCAGGACCCTGAAATCATGACCTGAGCTGAAGTCAGAAGCTCAACCCACTGAGCCACCCAAGCTCCCCTCAGAACAAGAATATTCTTATTTCTTAATTAGCAATGTTATGGCACTTTTTCTTTTTATTTTCCCCTTTTAAGTAGATTAAAAAAAAAAAAAGGTATTTGAAGCCTTCTTAAGTAATGGGGGTAGAAGGTGGAGGAGTGGGCAACATGACTCTGAAATATCTTTTAATCATATGATCTCACTGATATGAGGAATTCTTAATCTCAGGAAACAAACTGAGGGTTACTGGAGTGGTGGGGGTGGGAGGGATGGGGTGGCTGGGTGATAGACATTGGGGAGGGTATGTGCTATGGTGAGCGCTGTGAATTGTGCAAGACTGTTGAATCACAGACCTGTACCTCTGAAACAAATAATACATTATATGTTAAAAAAAAAAGAAGATAGCAGGAAGGGAAAAATGAAGAGGGGGGAATCGGAGGGGGAGACAAACCATGAGAGACTATGGACTCTGAGAAACAAACTGAGGGTTCTAGAGGGGAGGGGGGTGGGGGGATGGGTTAGCCCGGTGATGGGTATGAAAGAGGGCACGTTCTGCATGGAGCACTGGGTGTTATATGCAAACAATGAATCATGGAACACTACATCAAAAACTTATGATGTAATGTATGGTGATTAACATAACATAATAAAAAAAACAAAAACAAAAACAAAAAAACCATGATTCTAAAAGAGAAGATTATATAAGCACTACAGGAAGAAGCAAAAGGGCCAAAGAGTTGCTGCTGGGGTAGAGTCTGAAAGCTAAAGGTCTAACATCTTCAAGCTCAGGTTCTGGTAGCCATGAGCAGGCCTCCCTGATGGTCGCTGGACACCAGTCTCCATCCTCCATGTCAAAGTCTAGGCTACTAGGAAGGAGGATTTGATGCCTCTCCCAGGCATCAATCAATGTACAGTACCCACTGCTGACCAGGTCTTGGGTCTTGCAAGGATTAGTCAAGCTCAGACTCCATCCATACAGCAATAGCCTAGTGTGGGAATCACACTGAGTAGTTACCCAACAGCTGTAAACTCACTTTGTCTATTTAATAAGAACTCAGCCCTGTGGAGTTCAAGTATTTTAAATACCAGCAGCAAGCCTGACAGGCAAATAAAGTCATCCAAGACTGATCCCATGAAAAAGCCCCTTTAAGTTCAGTTGCTCCCTGATGAAGGGTCCCAAACCCAGTCTCTTTCTAACCACAGGGGAGGGGCCAATCTGGCTCCAACAGCGAGAGTCATGGCATCCAATCCCCACACAGTGGCTTGGTAGCCACCCACAGTGAGCACTTCTGCCTCATCCTGAGCATTCCAATTTGCACTTCTAATTCTAATTATTTTCTATATAGCACCCTCCCAAGGTGCAGCCTTCTGACCTGGCACAAGAATCCAGTTTTTATCCCTACCCTTTGTGATGGGGGCATTTCAAAGATACTGAAAACCATTACCAAAACAAAATAAAATCCCACTGACTGTGCGGTTGATGCTGGAAAAAAACTTGTCTTTCCAGAACTCACCTGTCAAGCACATAAGGCTCCAAATGAGCCTACAATCAGCACTCAAGAACCCAGGCAAGGTTCACCCTGGGCTAAGGAACTGACCCCAAAAGACTGGCTGGACCCCAAACAACTCCTTTCATCTGCTCATTTCAAGATCTGAATAAACTCCAGCCTTTCCTCCTGGCCAGTGTTTTATAAAATCAATCTTTCTCACCACATGCTTCACTATTTTTGCCATCTGTACATTACCTATGTTATTAGTTATTAAATATGTTTAAATTACTTGCTTTTTCATATTTTTACTTGCTTTTTCATATTAATAAATGTCTTTTAAAGGCACTTTTATTTCTACCCTAAATGTAAAACCAGTATCATCTGCCATACATCAAAATTAGCTACAAAAAGAACATTATGCTAGAAACAATAAAGAGTTATTCAAAAGTTCAGCCAGATACTGCTACCCTGTCTGTGCTCTCTCTTTCTGGAAAAGAAAAAAAAAGGGAGATAGAGGCGCCTGGGTGGCTCAGTCATTGAGCGTCTGCCTTCGGCTCAGGTCATGATCCCAGGGTCCTGGGATCAAGCCCCGCATCGGGCTCCCTGCTC